ACTACCAGCTCCGCCTGGGACGTCTCTCCAGAACCACGGTGTCAAGGTCCTACCTTTTTACCAGAGGTTATGTTACTCCATGTGATGGCATCCATCTTGGATTTCTGCAGAGCATGGTGGGAATCTTTTATGCCTTCAGGTCTCTGAGGTCCATCCCCCAGAGGGGTGTGGCTGATGACATATAAGCCTGTGTTCCGCACATGCTCTTTGCACTTGTGTCTTGTGTCTTTGTGTTGCTGTTACTCTGTTCTGACTCTTGTGACTCTCCTGGAATCTGACTCGGCTTGTGACCTGACCATTCTTTGTGTTCTCCTTTGATCTGACCCTCCGTTGCTGAACCCGGCTCGTGACCTGTGATTCTCGTCTGCTGTCCTGTACCGTTTTGTCTCGTTGTTGTTGACCCGGCCTGCCTGACTACTCTATTGTCTTTATCACTAGCTACACGCCATTGGCGGCGGCCCTTACCGCAGCTGGGGTGCCTCGGGGGCCGCGACCTGGTTCCTGGCTGCGTCAAGTCCATCCCCATCAGGGGCCCTGGGGAAGGGCAGCCTGGGACTTAGACTCCGCGCCCTGAGGGACTTCGGTCTGTGGGTGGTGGGTTGTCGTCAGCCTGTGCGTTACATTGTTATTAGGACTGCCTGTCCATTTCCCAGCTCCTGCCCTGACACACGGAGGGTTATTGTGGAAGGAGGGTCGGATCGTAGTACCCGAAGGAGTCCAAACCTTGGTCCTAGGCCACTGCCACGACCATCCAATGGCGGGCCATTTCGGAATTACGAAGACCCTGGAACTTCTGCAGCGCTCGTTCTGGTGGCCAAACATGGTCAAGGACTGCGAGCGCTACGTTCAGACTTGTGCTACCTGTCAGAGGAATAAACCCTCCAGAAGCAAGGCCTGGGGATTGTTGCGCCCGTTGCCAATTCCCAAGAGGGCCTGGCAAAATGATAGCCATGGACTTCATTGTCGAACTCCCACCATCTCAAGGCCACACTGCCATATTTGTGATTATAGATCACTTCTCTAAGATGGCCCATTTCGTACCCCTGGAAAAGACGCCATCAGCGCCGGAAACTGCACGAACCTTTATCAAAGAAATAGTAAGACTACATGGAGTTCCCGAGGATATAGTGTCAGCTCGGGGAGTTCAGTTCACATCAAGGTTTTGGAAAGCCTTGTGTGAAGCATTGGGAATCAAGTTGTCACTCTCGTCCGCTTACCATCCCCAGACCAATGGGCAAACGGAGAGGACCAACCAAGTGTTGGAGCAATACCTCAGATGCTACACGTCCTACCTACAGGACGACTGGCTGACGCTGTTACCGTCAGCGGAGTTTGCCTACAACAACTCGAACCACTCCGCTACGGGGCAATCCCCGTTCTTCACCAATTATGGTTATCATCCTACATTTATTCCTGATCTCATGCCAGAAAGTTCAGTACCTGCATCTCAAGATATCCTAAATTTCTTTTTGACCAATAACAAGACAGTTCAGGAGGCCATCACATAGCCCAGGAGGACAGCAAGAAGGCATTTGACAGGAAGAGAAGAGGGGAACTGACGCTTCAACCTGGAGATCGGGTTTGGCTGGCTACTGCCAGCTTGAAGATGCAGTGTCCATCAAGGAAACTGGGACCGAAATTTGTTGGCCCGTTCCGAATCAAGCGAGTCATCAACGAGGTGGCTTACGAACTCGAGCTGCCGGAGACCTTCAGGATGCACCCGGTGTTTCATGTGTCTCTTCTGAAACCAGCCAAACCGGACCCCTTCCCGGATCGAGAATCCAGACCCCCTGAGGCAGTCACCATAGGTGAGCAAAAAGAGTACGAAGTAGAAACGATTCTCAGTTGCCGAAGGAGGGGAGGCCAGACGCAGTTTTTGATAAAATGGAAGGGTTATGGCCCTGAGGAGAACTCATGGGAACCCATCCAGAATGTTCACGCCCCCAGGCTCATGCAGGAATTTTTTCGTAGCCACCCGCGGTGGAGAGATCAGAGGGGCTCCCGGAGGGTGCCCATGGGGGGGGGGGCAATGTCAGGGACCGCCGCGGCGCCTACCCTCGATGCATGCGCACTAGCGGCAGCTCACACCGGGACACAAGCACCAGGTCCCGGCGGGCCGCGGCTGACAGGATTCCGTGCATGCGCAGTAGGAGCCGCGGGCACGCCTTGGGCGGCCAATGACAGAACCGGGGGCGCGTCCTGGGGGCGGCCAATGACAGTGCAGGCTGCGATATTTAAAGATGCCCTGCACTGTCACAAGTTGCCGCAAGGTCTGACCTGTTACCTGAGTTTCCTGTGCCCTGTGATTATTGACCCGGATTGTTTGACCTCTCTGCCTGCTCCAGCTCTGACCCGGATTGTCTGACTACGCTGCCTTCTCCTATCCCGACCCCGGCTTGTTTGACCATTCTTCGGACTGACTACGATACTGACCCTGCGTGTGACCTGACCACTCTCTGCCTGCCGTCTTGGTACCTCGCCATCCCCCACACGGTGACAGCCGCCTGTTTATCCTGCCTGGTCCTGCCGGCCTCCTCACATCTGGCTCTCTTCTGGTTTACACTCATCCCCGGAGCTTCCCTCTGCCACTGGTGGTACTGCTCGGAGGTCGTGACCTGGTCCTGGTTCTGCTCCAAGTCCATCCCCACCATCAGGGGCCCTGGTAAAAACGCAGACCGGGACTTAGACTCCACACTCCGGGTGATTCCGTCTAGTGGGCTGCCAGAGGCACCACCTGGCGGATCCGTAACATACATTAAAACATTCATTGGAATGTAGCGCTCTCCTAGATAGGTTGTGTGACAGCAACCCAACCAGGACAGGGGCTTTTGGAAGGAACTATAGGCTAGCCTCTTGCCTGCTGACCATGGCCCTGGGATCTGAGGGCGCTCTATTCTTTGGTGTGTGCCTGGAGGGGACCTTTGAAGTAGTTTACTTTGGATTCAAGTCCATGTCTCCCCAAAACACAGACTCTGAGAACTGTAGGACCAAGATACAGATTTAGGGTCCCCGTGCCCAAACCAGCATTGACTGCTTCAACCCCCCCTCCTGCCTAGACTCAAAGACTCTAAAAAGATGTTGATATAATCAGTAAAACAACCTGAAGTTGGGGACTCTTGCTGGAATGATTTTATTAAGGTGTTATGTGTTTACTATCTTCTCCCATTGTGTGCCTCCTAGGTGAACATTCCTATTGTTGATGGAGTCAACTATTGTTTGTCTGTTGGCAAGTCCTTCTGGAGGTGCTTACATGGTGGGATTAGACTGATGTCAGGTTCACCTCGTTATCTAATCAGTGTGGGATGTTTATGCCAAAGTGTAATATATGTGCTATCGTTCATGAGGGGACTGCCCCTATTTCTGGAGTGTATAAACACCTGAGTTTTCTATTCAATAAAGAGTTCCAGTTTGGCATCTAAGCTGGTGTCATCTAGTCTTGAGTGCAAGGCCTGGCTATAATACCTCGGTTCTGTGTCCCAGTGGCGAGGAAGCAGTTCTCAGACGGAATTACCCAATTGGTGACATGCATCCCGTCACAGGATGCCAAGAGAAAATATAGTGTTTGGCTGGGTGGTAGTCAGCCCAGTTTTGATTTACATAGTTGTGCACTTGGTTTCTCCCTAGGCTCAGTGGAGTTGTGATCTCTTACTGTTGCCAGTAGGTGTCACTGCACCACTGGCTATAGTATGAGGCTTTTCTGCCAGGTTGGGTTATAAACATTCATATTTCCCCAGCCATCCCAGTAGGACAGGAGTGGGCAACAGTGGCCCTCCAGCTGTTGGTGAACTACAAGTCCCATCATGCCTCTGCCTTTGGGAGTCATGCTTGAAACTGTCAGTTTTTGCAATGTCTCATGGGACTTGTAGTTCTACAACAGCTGGAGGGCCACAGTTGCCCACCCCTGCAGTAGGAGGTTCAGGCCATTGGAGCATGATGGGGGAGGGTATAATTATTTGGAAGGGCGGGCCATATGTTGCTCTCTTGCCCCAGGCTGAGGCCTGAGATGTTGCTGCTGGGCCCAGACAGCTGATTTAGACCCATCATGTGCTGTGTGTGAACAGCCCTTCACATCTGGCCTAGGAGACTCACCTGCTGGGAAAGCTGCCATCTCTGAAGGTCTTGCAGCTGATCTATACTGATGCTCTTCAGGGTTCCGGCTGTGGCAGAGCCCTGTAACTACAGAGACATCCCTGAGACTTCACCCTTGAAGATCCAGGTCTACAAACACTTCACTAGGGGTCAACAGGAAGCCAAGTCTGGGCAGCTATTCAGTGGCCTCATGAGTAAAAAAAAATGTTGGCTGATCCAGGTCTCTGGCCATTCCTTCCAGTCTCAGAGGTCAAGAAGTGCTATTTACAGGACAGTGAAGTTAGTGTCCTCTCCTTTGGAACTCGCATTTACCAAAGTATCTCATGCCCCATACCCCTCCCTCGTTACAAGTTTTATCAGCATTAAATCAAAAAATGATATCCCCTAGACTGGTTATTGGGTCGGTGTGCATGAAGTCGCTACTGTGTTTTTGCTGCCAGCCTCTGCACAATTAGGAACAGAACCCCAATCAACATCATCATCAGTGTGGCTGTTATCAGGAGATGTTCAGTGACTGTACTTTTATTACATTCAATCAACATCAATTAGTGGCCCTGGGGGTTCCCACTACAGTAACTAACATGACTGTGTAAATCAGAAGTACCAATATGTGTTCATTATCTACCTGATCATGTTTTGTGTAGTTGTGATCTTCCAGTGTGGAATCCTGGGACAACAGAGGACGGGGACATCTCTCTGGTGGGTTCCTGGTATTAGGTGGCTCCATCATATCCTTGTGTCCTTCTGAAAGCTTCTTCATCACTCCATACTCCTCATCCTCCTCTTTATACTCTTCTTTGATAACAATAATATATTCTCCACGGTTTCCACTCTGAATATATAATAAAACATTCATTGTAACAAACATGCTGTGTATAAATCACAACTACCAATAATTGTCAATCATCTACCTTATGATGGTGAGGGATGGTGTGATCTTCCTGTGTGGAATCCCGGGAACACAGAGGACGGGGACATCTCTCTGGTGGGTTCCCATGACTGGATCCATCTGTAGGAAACACACACACTGACTGAATCCATTGTTTCTATGTGTTTATCAGATGATGGGGGATCTAGGTGGATCCTCCGTACTGCTCTCTCCTTTACAATAAAGTCTCCTCTTACCCGGTGATGTGAGGGGCGGCTGATTGTCCATCATGACGTCCTTGTAGAGGTCCTTGTGTCCTTCTAAATACTCCCACTCCTCCATGGAGAAATAGACAGTGACATCCTGACACCTTATAGGAACCTGACACACACAATGATACAGTCACCATCCAGACACATCCCTTGTCTGTTACTGGAGAATGTCCCAGAATTCCCAGCACCGCTCACCTCTCCTGTCAGCAGCTCCATCATCTTCTTGGTGACTTCTAGAATCTTCTGCATGTTGTGTCTCTCAGGGTTTAGGGAGTCACATGGAGGCACTGTGATGGTCATATGAGCACCTGGCTTCAGAAAAGGAAATCTCTGTATTGGGGAACCAATAGGAATATCATGTTAGAATCCCAGAATCCTCCTCACCACTTCAGTCAGGTGTTTTTATTAATATAGATCAAAGTGATGTCATGTGACCTCCCAGAATTCCTCCTCACCTCTCCAGTCAGGTCTGTGCTTTATTAATAGAGATAAGAGTGATGTCATGTGACCTCCCAGAATCCTCCTCACCTCTACGGTCAGGTTTGTGTTTTATTAATAGAGATGAGTGATGTCATGTGACCTCCCAGAATCCTCCTTACCTCTCTGGTCAGCAGGTAGATGATCTCAAGGGTGAACTTTAGTATCCTCTCATTCATGTGACTCCGGCCCTCCTCCATCCTCATTGATGTGGTCATGTGATCTCCGTGGGTTGCTCTGTAGATGGTTAGCAGAGAATTAGCTGGATGGAATTGGCTGTAAAATATTAGTATGTGGACATAAGGGGTTAATAGGTGGGCTGCCCTCAGTGGGAATTAGCACATTTAGATTGGGTTACTTAGGGGTCTGTTTACATAAAAAAATGCATAGCCATTCTTCCAGGTATTATGTACGTACATTTGCACTGTGCAAATTGAGCAACACGGATTGTTCTTTTGGGTCTTTTCTCTTCTGAATGAATGTTCTTTTATTATAGGCAGTAAAAATATACCACATTAGGGGCCACTGGATGGAGTTAAGGAGCGCAGGAAACACATACACCTGTAAGCAGGTTGAAATGCTAATTAGCAGCTGCTACCTGGCAGGGAGGGAAAGGGTTAACTTCTTTCCAGATCTTTGTCTCTGTTTTTGGAAGGCTGCTGCTGGGCTTTTCTCCTCCCCATGCATATAAATTCAGAGAGAGCTTTGCCAGGACAAGTCCTGCCACATGGGAGAAGAGAGAAGGCTGTCCGCTGCAATGTAATCTGATCCTCCAGCAACCGCTCTCCCGAAGAATGGGGACTCTGCTCCTCTCTGCCTTCAGCAATCTCTATCTTGATTATCATCATGGAAGATTGCCTACTTGAGGAGTCTGCCAATGAGCCTGGAGCTGCTGAGCCTTGTGGTCCCACAGCACACAGCCTGCTGCTTGGGAAGGAAAGACACAAACAGCCAGCAAGGTGTGGGAGAGAGCTTCTGTTTCTGATTCCAGACAGCGGGAGAAATGTACTAGCAAGGGTGAAAGGTCTAAAGCAACCTGGTTCGGACCCACATGACAGAGACCCTATGGACAGAAGAGTTATTAAGAATGAAGTGTGCACTGGTTCGGCAGAACCTGCTCTGTCACTGGGAGATGGGTGGCAGAGGCTAGCTGGATTGGTGGGATGGAACACAAGCTCAGCAGTGTTCCCTTCAAATTGTCACATCTCGAGTAGGTGTATGTATCAAGGGACTGGGAGGCACCTGTATGACAGCTTCAGGTTACGATACAGAGACTCTAGGGTGTATGGCTCACTTCTAAGTTGGAGTGCCACCATAATGTTGGTGTCCCATGAACGCAGCCCCGCCTGGTCCCAGGCATTAGCGAGGGCATACAATGGAGAGTCAAGAGGACAAAGAAGAGTGAGAGAGAGTAAGAGGCCCTGTGTGCACAGGGCAAGTTGGCCCTACCCACACACCATTGTAGTGAGAGATACATTGTAAGAATTATGGAGAACACTAGAGGGAATTAGCAAATAAATGTAACCAATGGGTGTGCAACATACATGTGGTAAGGGCAGCATTTGTATGCAGCCTGCCATCACCTTACTGTGCAGTAAACTGTGCACTAAAAGTACTGTAACAGCAACTTTGGGAATTCCAGGAAAACTCCGGAACTCCATGAACTTGAGGAAAACAAGCTTTTTATTTACCAGCTGGTTGACTTAACCAGACTCGTGTCTGCAAACTAAATGCCTTGAAAAGCATGTTACATGGTGTACATATCAACAATTACATCACAATGCATATATTTCCTCTTTACTTTTTGTACTTTTAAAATACATTCTGAGCAGTTCAAGATATAGCCTTTGCGATTTCACATTTAGATAACATATCACCAGCTGAAAGTTAGGGTGTCAGCTGCTAGACTGGAACACATTGTTCCACAGGAAATGAGGGGGGGGGGGGGGGGGGGGGGGAGTGAGCTGATGACCTGGTTCTGCAAAGAGATGCTTTTAGAAATGTTAAAGCTTAGAGGAGAACTCTGCAATATTTGGGTGCTGCCACAGTACCACATATCCCCACCATCATAGTATATATAAAAGCTAGGCTGTCCATTCGCCTCCATCAGAATACTACAAAGACAGAGGGACCTCACATCTGAGGTAGAGTTTCTGCAAAGGGAGATACTATTATTATTATTATACAGTATTTATATAGCGCCAAAGGGTTTGCTCAGCTCTGTACAATAGCACGGGGGACAGAACATGAGACAAGACAGAAACAATACAATACACGAGGGGTTCGAGGGCCCTGCTCTTTCGAGCTTACAATCTAGGAGGGAGGGGAAAGTGGTACAGGAGGAAATGGCTGTGGGGTATGGAGTGGTGGGAGGAGTGGAGGAGATCAGCTGTTAGGTGAGGGTGGGGTAGGCTTCCCTGAAGAGATGGGTTTTCAGGGTGCGCCTGAAGGTGATGAGGGTAGGTGACAGTCTGATGGATTGGGGTAGGGAGTTCCAGAGGATGGGGGAAGTCCTGGAGAAATCCTGCAATCGGGCGTGGGAGGAGGAGACCAGGGAGCTAGAGAGTAGGAGGTCCTGTGAAGAGCGAAGGGCACAGGTAGGGTAGTATTTGGGTATCAGGTCAGTTATATATTTCGGGGCGGCATTGGGAAGGGCTTTGTAGGTCAGAGTTAGTAATTTGAATTTGATGCGTTGGGCAATTGGGAGCCAGTGAAGGGATTGGCAGAGGGGGGAGGCAGAAGTGGAGCGGTTGGTGAGGTGGATGAGTCTAGCCGCTGAGTTTAGGATCGACTGGAGTGGGGATAGCGTTCGTTTGGGTAGGCCAGTGAGAAGGGAGTTGCAGTAGTCCAGGTGTGAGATGATGAGGGAGTGTACAAGTTGTTTAGTAGCGTCTGGGGTGAGGAATGTGCGTATCTTGGAGATGTTGCAGAGGTGGAGCCTGCATGATCTAGATAGTAATTGGACATGAGGTAGGAAGGAAAGGTTTGAGTCCAGGGTGACACCCAGGACTTTGGCATGTGGGGTGGGGGAGTGATGGTGGCGTTGTTAGTAGTGATGGAGAGGATGGGGGGGCGCGGGGTGGGGGAAGACCAGGAGCTCAGTTTTGGACAAGTTTAATTTGAGGAAATGGAGCAACATCCAGTCTGATATGTCGTTTAGGAGGTGGGCGATGCGGATGGAGAGTGAGGGGGGAGGTGGGGGGTAGAGAGGTAAATTTGTATGTCGTCGGCCTAGAGGTGGTAATTGAAGCCGTGGGAGGGTATTAGTTTGCCAAGAGAGGAGGTGTAGATGGAGAAGAGGAGGGGTCCGAGGACAGAGCCTTGGGGAACTCCGACAGAGAGGGGGAGAGAGGGGGAGGTGGCACCATTATAGCTGACTCTGAAGAAGCGTTGGGATAGGTAGGAGGAGAACCAGGAGAGAGCAGCATCCCTGATGCCAAGGGAGTGCAGTTTAGTAAGGAGGAGGGGGTGGTCGACTGTGTTGAAGGCCATGGAGAGGTCGAGGAGTAGGAGGACAGAGTAATGGCCATTAGCTTTGGCGGTTAGCAGGTAATTAGTGATTTTAGGTAGGGCGGTTTCGGTGGAGTGTAGGGGACGGAAGCCAGACTCCAGAGGATCAAGGAGGTTGTTATCAGTGAGGTGGGCGCTTAGGCGATTGTAGGCCAGGCACTCAAGGAGCTTGGAAGTGAATGGTAGCAGGGAGATGGGTCTAAGGTTGTTCAGGTCAGTGGGGTCAAGGGAGGGTTTTTTGAGTATGGGGGTGATGTGCGCGTGCTTTAGAGGGGAGGGGAAAGTGCCAGTGGAGAGGGAGAGATTGAAGATGTGGGTGAGGGAGCGAATGATGGAGGGGGGGGGGGGTGACTGGAGGAGCTGTGAGGGGATAGGGTCCAGGACGCAGGTGGTGAGGCAGGCTTCAGTGAAGACCTTAGAGACCTCCTCAGGGGTAGCTGGGCTGAAGGAGCGGAGTGTTAGGGAGGTGATAGTGTGCGGGACGTTAGGCATAGTGGGCGGTAGTGCGGCTAGGAGGTTGGAGGAGGGGAAAGTTGAGGGGTTGATGGAGGGCGGGGGGCTGGGTGGAGAGGTAGATTGTGAGCTGACAATGTCCTTACGGATTGCGTCAATCTTGTTTTGGAAATGATTGGCAATCTCGTGGGCGGTGAGTGAGGTGCTGACAGGAGGTGGGGGGGGGAGAGAGCAGGGATTTGAAAGTGGAGAAGAGCCGGTGAGGACAGGTGGAGAGGGAGTTGATAAGGGTTATGAAATAGGCTTGCTTGGCAGCGTGGTAGGGGGGGAGAACAGTTGTTACATGGGGAGATGGTAGGAGAGAGCAGTTGATGCATGGGGAGATAGTAGGGGGGAAAACAGTTGCTGCACAGGGAGACTATGAGGAGAGTGGTTGCTACAAGGGAAGATTGTAGGGGGAGAGCAGTTGCTACATGGGGAGATAGTAAGAGGGAGAGCAGTTGCTGCATGGGGAGATAGTAGGGTGAAAGCATTTTCTGCACATGGATTAATAGTAGGGGGGGAAAGCAGTTGCTGCAT